CTTTGAGGAATTTCCTGGATCATGGATGAGTTTTGGAGGGTTTTATCCCAAATTCCCATCCCCAACCAAAGCAACTCCTGATGGACCGGGGGTTGACCCGGGTGGGATTTCCTGGATCTGGGAGGATTTTGGAGGCCTCCTTTATCCCAAATATCCTTCCTAAACACAATTCCTGAGGGAGAAAACACAATTCCTGAGGGAAAAGGGGGGATTTTTGTGGGATTTCATGGATTTGGGAAGATTTTGGAGAGGTTTTATCCCAAATCCCCTCCCCAAACCACAACTCCTGATGGACCTGGGATTGACCCGGGTGGGATTTCCCGACTCCGGCTCTCCGTGAGGAATTCCAGACCTCCTGGAACAAATACCTCTAAACACAAGCTCTGAGGAAAGGGGGATTTCAGAAGGATTTCAGGGCTACCTCAGGGAGAGGTTTTATCCCACTTTTAACCCCAAATCCCCTCCCCAAACCACAACTCCTGATGGACCGGGGGGGTTGACCCGGGTGGGATTTCCTGGATCTGGGAGGATTTCAGGGCCTCCTTTTATCCCAAATATCCTTCCCAATCCACAACTCCTGAGGACAAAAAACAATTCCTGAGGGACAAAGGGGATTTTTGTGGGATTTCCTGGATTTGGGAGGATTTTGGGGCTCACCTCAGGGCGTGCCGGGCTTGATGCGGTCGGCGCAGAGCAGGAAGGCGCCGGCGTGGGGGTGGCACCGGTGGGCGCTGCCCGGGTGGTCCCGAAGGCACCGCTCGAACTCCGCCAGGGGTTCGGCACAATCCCGCGGATCTGACGCACGATGGGGCTGGGGGAGACAGGGATGGGTCAGGGATGGCACTGGGATGGCACTGGGATGGCACTGGGAGGCACTGGGATGGCACTGGGATGGCACTGGGATGGCACTGGGATGGCACTGGGATGGCACTGGAGGCACTGGGATGGCACTGGGATGGCACTGGGATGGCACTGGGATGGCACTGGGATGGCACTGGGATGGCACTGGGATGGCACTGGGATGGCACTGGGGGCACTGGGATGGCACTGGGATGGCACTGGGATGGCACTGGGATGGCACTGGGGGGACTGGGATGGCACCAAAGGGACAATCCCAGTCCCTCCCAGTCTGTCCCAGTGCTCCCAGTGACAATCCCAGTGCCCATCCCAGTGCCCCCAGTGCCCATCCCAGTGCCCATCCCAGTCCCTCCCAGTGCCTCCACTGACAATCCCAGTCCCTCCAATCCCTCCCAGTCCCTCCACTGACAATCCCAGTCCCTCCCAGTCTGTCCCAGTTCCCCCACTGACTGTGCGGAGGCGCAGTGGGCGATGCCGAGGCGCAGTTGGTGACAATCCCAGTGCCCCCAGTGCTCCCAGTGCCCATCCCAGTATGTCCCAGTCTCTCCCAGTTGCTGTACTGACTGTGCCGAGGCGCAGTGGGCGATGCCGAGGCGCAGCTGGTGACAATCCCAGTCCCTCCCAGTATGTCCCAGTTGCTGTACTGACTGTGCGGAGGCGCAGTGGGCGATGCCGAGGCGCAGTTGGTGACAATCCCAGTGCCCCCCAGTCCCTCCCAGTGCTCCCAGTGCCCATCCCAGTCCCTCCCAGTGCTCCCAGTGCCCATCCCAGTCCCTCCCAGTTCCCGTACTGACTGTGCCGAGGCGCAGTGGGCGATGCCGAGCCTCAGCTGGTGGCAATCCCAGTGCTCCCAGTGCCCATCCCAGTGCCTCCCAGTGCCCCCAGTGCCCATCCCAGTCCCTCCCAGTATGTCCCAGTCCCTGTACTGACTGTGCGGAGGCGCAGTGGGCGATGCCGAGGCGCAGTTGGTGACAATCCCAGTGCCCCCAGTGCCCATCCCAGTCCCTCCCAGTCCCTCCCAGTGCCCATCCCAGTGCCCCCAGTGCCCATCCCAGTCCCTCCCAGTCTGTCCCAGTGTCCCCACTGACTGTGCCGAGGCGCAGTGGGCGATGCCGAGGCGCAGTTGGTGACAATCCCAGTGCCCCCAGTGCCCATCCCAGTGCCCTCCCAGTGCCCCAGTGCCATCCCAGTCCCTCCCAGTCTGTCCCAGTTCCCCCACTGACTGTGCGGAGGCGCAGTGGGCGATGCCGAGGCGCAGTTGGTGACAATCCCAGTGCCCCCAGTGCCCAGTCCCTCCCAGTCTGTCCCAGTTCCCCCACTGACTGTGCCGAGGCGCAGTGGGCGATGCCGAGGCGCAGGTGGTGACAATCCCAGTCCATCCCAGTGCCCATCCCAGTCCCTCCCAGTGCCCCCAGTGCCCATCCCAGTCCCTCCCAGTCCCTCCCATGTCCCAGTCCCCACTGACTGTGCCGAGGCGCAGTGGGCGATGCCGAGCCTCAGCTGGCGCCAATCCCAGTGCCTCCCAGTCCCATCCCAGTGTCCCAGTCCCTCCCAGTGTCCCAGTTGCCCACTGACTGTGCCGAGGCGCAGTGGGCGATGCCGAGGCGCAGTTGGTGACCATCCCAGTCCCTCCCAGTCCCTCCCAGTATGTCCCAGTGCCCCGTACTGACTGTGCCGAGGCGCAGTGGGCGATGCCGAGGCGCAGCTGGTGGCAATCCCAGTGCCCCCAGTGCCCATCCCAGTCCCTCCCAGTGCTCCCAGTGCCCATCCCAGTCCCTCCCAGTCTCCCAGTCCCTCCCAGTCCCTCCCAGTTCCCCCACTGACTGTGCCGAGGCGCAGTGGGCGATGCCGAGCCTCAGCTGGTGACAATCCCAGTGCCTCCCAGTGCCCATCCCAGTGCCCTCCCAGTGCCCCCAGTGCCCATCCCAGTCCCTCCCAGTATGTCCCAGTCCCTGTACTGACTGTGCGGAGGCGCAGTGGGCGATGCCGAGGCGCAGTTGGTGACAATCCCAGTGCCCCCAGTGCCCATCCCAGTCCCTCCCAGTCCCCCCAGTGCCCATCCCAGTGCCCCCAGTGCCCATCCCAGTCCCTCCCAGTCTGTCCCAGTGTCCCCACTGACTGTGCCGAGGCGCAGTGGGCGATGCCGAGGCGCAGTTGGTGACAATCCCAGTGCCCCCAGTGCCCATCCCAGTCCCTCCCAGTGCCCCCAGTGCCCATCCCAGTCCCTCCCAGTCCCTCCCAGTTCCCGTACTGACTGTGCGGAGGCGCAGTGGGCGATGCCAAGGCGCAGTTGGTGACAATCCCAGTGCCCCCAGTGCCCATCCCAGTCCCTCCCAGTGCTCCCAGTTCTCCCAGTTCCCCCACTGACTGTGCCGAGGTGCAGTGGGCGATGCCGAGGCGCAGTTGGTGACAATCCCAGTCCCTCCCAGTCCCTCCCAGTGCTCCCAGTTCCCCCACTGACTGTGCCGAGGCGCAGTGGGCGATGCCGAGGCGCAGGTGGTGACAATCCCAGTCCCTCCCAGTCCCTCCCAGTATGTCCCAGTTCCCCCACTGACTGTGCCGAGGCGCAGTGGGCGATGCCGAGGCGCAGCTGGTGACAATCCCAGTGCCCAGTGCCCATCCCAGTCCCTCCCAGTGCCCCCAGTGCCCATCCCAGTCCCTCCCAGTCTGTCCCAGTGCTCCCAGTTCCCGTACTGACTGTGCCGATGCGCAGTGGGCGATGCCGAGGCGCAGTTGGTGACAATCCCAGTGCCCATCCCAGTCCCTCCCAGTATGTCCCAGTGCCCCCAGTGCCCATCCCAGTGCCCATCCCAGTCCCTCCCAGTGCCCCCAGTGCCCATCCCAGTCCCTCCCAGTGCCCCCCAGTGCCCCCACTGACTGTGCCGAGGCGCACTGGGCGATGCCGAGGCGCAGTTGGTGACAATCCCAGTGCCCCCAGTGCCCATCCCAGTCCCTCCCAGTGCCCCCAGTGCCCATCCCAGTGCCCCCAGTGCCCATCCCAGTCCCTCCCAGTCCCTCCCAGTCTGTCCCAGTTCCCCCACTGACTGTGCCGAGGCGCAGTGGGCGATGCCGAGGCGCAGCCAGTGACAATCCCAGTGCCCCCAGTGCCCATCCCAGTCCCTCCCAGTGCTCCCAGTTCCTGTACTGACTGTGCCGAGGCGCAGTTGGTGGCAATCCCAGTGTCCCCAGTGCCCATCCCAGTCCCTCCCAGTCCCTCCCAGTTGCTGTACTGACTGTGCCGAGGCGCAGTGGGCGATGCCGAGGCGCAGTTGGTGACAATCCCAGTGCCCCCAGTGCCCATCCCAGTGTGTCCCAGTGCCCCCAGTGCCCATCCCAGTGCCTCCCAGTCCCTCCCAGTCCCTCCCAGTTGCTGTACTGACTGTGCCGAGGCGCAGTGGGCGATTCCGAGCCTCAGCCGGTGACAATCCCAGTCCCTCCCAGTATGTCCCAGTGCTCCCAGTTCCCCCACTGACTGTGCCGAGGCGCAGTGGGCGATTCCGAGCCTCAGCCGGTGACAATCCCAGTGCCCCCAGTGCCCATCCCAGTCCCTCCCAGTGCCCCCAGTGCCCATCCCAGTGCCCATCCCAGTCCCTCCCAGTGCTCCCAGTTCCCCCACTGACTGTGCTGATGCGCAGTGGGCGATTCCGAGCCTCAGCCGGTGACAATCCCAGTGCTCCCAGTCCCTCCCAGTCCTTCCCAGTGCTCCCAGTTCCCCCACTGACTGTGCTGATGCGCACTGGGCGATGCCGAGGCGCAGTTGGTGACAATCCCAGTGCCCCCAGTGCCCATCCCAGTCCCTCCCAGTATGTCCCAGTTCCCGTACTGACTGTGCGGAGGCGCAGTGGGCGATGCCGAGCCTCAGCCGGTGGCAGTCTCTGTGCCCCCAGTGCCCATCCCAGTCCCTCCCAGTCCCTCCCAGTCCCTGTACTGACTGTGCTGAGGCGCAGTGAGCGATGCCGAGGCACAGCCAGTGACAATCCCAGTCCCTCCCAGTATGTCCCAGTCCCTCCCAGTATGTCCCAGTCGCTGTACTGACTGTGCCGAGGCGCAGTGGGCGATGCCGAGGCGCAGGTGGTGGCAATCCCAGTGCCCCCAGTGCCCATCCCAGTCCCTCCCAGTCCCTCCCAGTGCCCATCCCAGTCCCTCCCAGTGCCCCCAGTGCCCATCCCAGTCCCTCCCAGTCCCTCCCAGTACGTCCCAGTCCCTGTACTGACTGTGCCGAGGCGCACTGGGCGATGCCGAGGCGCAGCTGGTGACAATCCCAGTGCCCCCAGTGCCCATCCCAGTCCCTCCCAGTGCCCCCAGTGCCCACCCCAGTCCCTCCCAGTCTGTCCCAGTGCTCCCAGTCCCTGTACTGACTGTGCCGAGGCGCAGTGGGCGATGCCGAGGCACAGTTGGTGACAATCCCAGTGCCCCCAGTGCCCATCCCAGTCCCTCCCAGTCCCTCCCAGTCTGTCCCAGTTCCCCCACTGACTGTGCCGAGGCGCAGTGGGCGATGCCGAGCCTCAGCTGGTGACAATCCCAGTGCCCCCAGTGCCCATCCCAGTCCCTCCCAGTATGTCCCAGTTCCCCCACTGACTGTGCCGAGGCGCAGTGGGCGATGCCGAGGCGCAGTTGGTGACAATCCCAGTGCCCCCAGTGCCCATCCCAGTCCCTCCCAGTGCCCCCAGAGCCCATCCCAGTGCCCCCAGTGCCCATCCCAGTCCCTCCCAGTATGTCCCAGTTCCCCACTGACTGTGCCGATGCGCAGTGGGCGATGCCGAGCCTCAGCTGGTGACAATCTCTGTGCCCCCAGTGCCCATCCCAGTCCCTCCCAGTGCCCCCAGAGCCCATCCCAGTGCCCCCAGTGCCCATCCCAGTCCCTCCCAGTGCTCCCAGTTCCCCCACTGACTGTGCCGAGGCGCAGTGGGCGATGCCGAGGCGCAGTTGGTGACAATCCCAGTCCCTCCCAGTGCCCATCCCAGTCCCTCCCAGTCCCTCCCAGTCCCTCCCAGTTCCCCCACTGACTGTGCTGATGCGCAGTGGGCGATTCCGAGCCTCAGCTGGTGACAATCCCAGTGCTCCCAGTGCCCCCAGTGCCCATCCCAGTATGTCCCAGTCCCTGTACTGACTGTGCCGAGGCGCAGTGGGCGATGCCGAGGCGCAGCTGGTGACAATCCCAGTGCCCCCAGTGCCCATCCCAGTCCCTCCCAGTGCTCCCAGTCCCTGCACTGACTGTGCCGAGGCGCAGTTGGTGGCAATCCCAGTGTCCCCAGTGCCCATCCCAGTCCCTCCCAGTATGTCCCAGTCCATCCCAGTCCCTGTACTGACTGTGCCGAGGCGCAGTGGGCGATTCCGAGGCACAGTTGGTGACAATCCCAGTGCCCCCAGTGCCCATCCCAGTCCATCCCAGTTCCCCCACTGACAATCCCAGTCCCTCCCAGTCCCTCCCAGTCCCTCCCAGTTCCCCCACTGACTGTGCCGAGGCGCAGTGGGCGATTCCGAGCCTCAGCCGGTGACAATCCCTGTGCCAGGATTCGGGCCTGGCGGCCACGCAGCGCCCGTAGCGCTCCAGCTCCTCCCCGCAGTGCCGGGCAGTCAGCTCCAGAGCCCATTCCCTGCCGGAAAAATGGGAATTCCGGGGGTTAAAAACCGGGAATTCCAGGGGTTAAAAACCGGGAAAGGACAGGGACAGCTCCAGAGCCCATTCCCTGTGGGAAAAATGGGAATTCCGGGGGTTAAAAACCGGGAAAGGACAGGGACAGCTCCAGAGCCCATTCCCTGCGGGAAAACCGGGAATTCCGGGGGTTAAAAACCGGGAATGCCGAGGGTTAAAAACCGGGAATGCCGACAGGGACAGCTCCAGAGCCCATTCCCTGCCGGAAAAATGGGAATTCCAAGGGTTAAAAACCGGGAATGCCGGGGGTTAATCACAGGGAAAGGACAGGGACAGCTCCAGAGCCCATTCCCTGCCGGAAAAATGGGAATTCCGGGGGTTAAAAACCGGGAATGCCAACAGGGACAGCTCCAGAGCCCATTCCCTGTGGAAAAACCGGGAATTCTGGGGGTTAAAAACCGGGAAAGGGACAATTCCCTGTGGGAAAACCGGAAATTCCGGGGGTTAAAAACCGGGAATGTCAGGGGTTAATCACCGGGAAAGGACAGGGACAGCTCCAGAGCCCATTCCCTGTGGGAAAAACCGGGAATTCCGGGGTTAAAAACCGGGAAAGGACAGGGACAGCTCAGAGCCCATTCCCTGCGGAAAACCGGAATTCGGGGTTAAAAACCGGGAATTCCGGGGGTTAAAACCGGGAATGCCGAGGGTTAATCACCGGGAAAGGACAGGGACAGCTCCAGAGCCCATTCCCTGCCGGAAAAATGGGAATTCCGAGGGTTAAAAACCGGGAATGCCGAGGGTTAATCACCGGGAAAGGACAGGGACAGCTCCAGAGCCCATTCCCTGCCGGAAAAATGGGAATTCTGGGGGTTAAAAACCGGGAATGCCGGGGGTTAATCACAGGGAAAGGACAGGGACAGCTCCAGAGCCCATTCCCTGTGGGAAAAACTGGGAATTCCGGGGGTTAAAAACCGGGAAAGGACAGGGACAGCTCCAGAGCCCATTCCCTGCGGGAAAAACCGGGAATTCCGGGGGTTAAAAACCGGGAATGCCAAGGGTTAATCACCGGGAAAGGACAGGGACAGCTCCAGAGCCCATTCCCTGTGGGAAAAACCGGGAATTCCGGGGGTTAAAAAACGGGAATGCCGAGGGTTAATCACCGGGAAAGGACAGGGACAGCTCCAGAGCCCATTCCCTGTGGAAAAACCGGGAATTCCGGGGGTTAAAAACCGGGAATGCCGACAGGGACAGCTCCAGAGCCCATTCCCTGTGGAAAAACCGGGAATTCCGGGGGTTAAAAACCGGGAAAGGACAGGGACAGCTCCAGAGCCCATTCCCTGCGGGAAAAACCGGGAATTCCGGGGGTTAAAAACCGGGAATGCCGGGGGTTAATCACTGGGAAGGGACAGGGACAGCTCCAGAGCCCATTCCCTGCCGGAAAAACCGGGAATTCCGGGGGTTAAAAACCGGGAATGCCGAGGGTTAATCACTGGGAAAGGACAGGGACAGCTCCAGAGCCCATTCCCTGCGGGAAAAACGGGAATTCCGGGGGTTAAAAACCGGGAATGCCAAGGGTTAATCACCGGGAAAGGACAGGGACAGCTCCAGAGCCCATTCCCTGTGGGAAAACCGGGAATTCCGGGGGTTAAAAACCGGGAATGTCAGGGGTTAATCACCGGGAAAGGACAGGGACAGCTCCAGAGCCCATTCCCTGGGGAAAAATGGGAATTCCGGGGGTTAAAAACCGGGAATGCCGACAGGGACAGCTCCAGAGCCCATTCCCTGCCGGAAAAACCGGGAATTCCGGGGGTTAAAAACCGGGAATGTCAGGGGTTAATCACCGGGAAAGGACAGGGACAGCTCCAGAGCCCATTCCCTGCCGGAAAAATGGGAATTCCAGGGGTTAAAAACCGGGAATGCCGAGGGTTAAACACCGGGAAAGGACAGGGACAGCTCCAGAGCCCATTCCCTGCTGGGAAAACTGGGAATTCCGGGGTTAAAACCGGGAATGCCAGGGGTTAATCACCGGGAAAGGACAGGGACAGCTCAGAGCCCATTCCTGTGGGAAAACCGGGAATTCCAGGGGTTAAAAACCGGGAATGCCGAGGGTTAATCACCGGGAAAGGACAGGGACAGCTCCAGAGCCCATTCCCTGTCGGAAAAATGGGAATTCCGGGGTTAAAACCGGGAATGCCAGGGTTAATCACGGAAAGGAGGGACAGCTCAGAGCCCATTCCTGTGGAAAAACCAGAATTCCAGGGGTTAAAACCGGGAATGCCGAGGGTTAATCACTGGGAAAGGACAGGGACAGCTCCAGAGCCCATTCCCTGTCGGAAAAATGGGAATTCCAGGGGTTAAAAACCGGGAATGTCAGGGGTTAATCACTGGGAAAGGACAGGGACAGCTCCAGAGCCCATTCCCTGCCGGAAAAATGGGAATTCCAGGGGTTAAAAACCGGGAATGCCGAGGGTTAATCACCGGGAAAGGACAGGGACAGCTCAGAGCCCATTCCCTGCGGGAAAAATGGGAATTCCAGGGGTTAAAAACCGGGAAACGGACAGGGACAGCTCCAGAGCCCATTCCTGTGGGAAAAACCAGGAATTCTGGGGTTAAAAACCGGGAATGCCGAGGGTTAATCACCGGGAAAGGACAGG